CCCCAAAACCCCAAAACCCCATAAAGCATTGATAAAACATGTTTATGAATTAAGAGTTATAAGAAGTTTTACTTGATAATGACAAATTAAGCATTTAATTTCAAATTAATTTTAAAATGGCTGATTATCTATGCGAAGATATATTAAATAGACTGAAGCAAGAGAATTGTCTATGTATTAACAAAAATAAAACTAGAGAACTATAGCAGTAAACTTTGTTTATCAAATTTCATAAATGGCTTAAAGAGAATGGAGCTATTTATGATCATTGTATTGAATATCCCGTTGCTTTCAGTGATAAACCTGATAATCAAAATTTCTATTTGATTGGAGTTGCTGCAAAGAAATTACTAGGCCCCTAATAGGCATATCTTTACATTCCAAATAAGCTGATAATCAATGAATATAAACTACTTCAATCAGAGTATGGACATATTTTTAGAGAAAATGAGCACTTATTCAAGGAAGGATCTGAAGGTGAATAGATATAATTGATATTCTATGTAATATGTGAGCAAATCAAAGGAGAGGCTAGCTTTTGGTACCCTTATTTCCAGACTTGCTAGGATTCAGATCTCCCTTAATTCTGGAAAGATGATGAGTTAGAAGACCTTGAAGATCAGCTGATGATCGCTGAGATACAAGAAGTCAGGGGCAATTATCAAAAGGAATTCTAACTATGCCGCTCAATTGCTTCAAAATATCCTGAACTAATAGATTTAGATAAATTCTCAGAGGATCTTTACAAAATAGCATATAATCTTGTAACAACAAGATGCTTTGGATGGAGTTTACCATACACTTCACTAGTACCTCTAGCTGATTGCTTCAATCATTACAACATTGACAATTAATATGAGTTATTTAATTCTAAGTTACATACATTACTTTCTGACTATAATCCTAAGTCATCTGTTTAAGAACTTAAAGAGGAATTAAGGGAGGTTGATTATTAATACTATACAAAGGAAAAGATGCAGCTTAATTTTATGAAGAATTTTAAAGAAGATTAAGACCTTGACAAAAACTAACAACCTGCAGGTGAGAGTAGCAGTGAAGGTGACTCAGATGATCCAGATGATATTCCAGAAATAAGCTAGAAAAGAGTAAATAAACTAATGATTAGAAGCACGTGCCTAGGATTAACTACATAACAATTTTTAGAAGATGAAGGATACTAAAAGTGTTAAATATGGGATTTGAAGTATGACAGTACTTCTGATGAAGAAGACAATGACACCAGCTCGGAGTCCTCATCATCAGAGACTGAAGAATTAGAAATTGAGGATAACTCCTAGAATAAAAAGAAAAAGAGAGATTAATATACATTTACATATTAGGACAACTAGGTAATTAAGAAAAAGATAGATAGAAATTCTGTTGATAACGCTAGAAAGCTCAACTTAATTGACTTACTTGTTTAGTAAAAAGAGTATTTGGATGCGAAAGAGACCAAAATGAGAAAGCTAAAATAGCAAGATGATTAGAGATATAGGAAATTTATTATGTAAGAAGAAACTTCAAGTGATGAGGAAGATGATGAGAAATTTGAATGGTATGAAGATTAGGACAAAAATACATTTTTCACGCTATGTACTTAGTATAAAACAGCTTATGATAAAGGAGATTAAATATTTCATTGCTACGGTAGAAGAACTAACAGATTTTTGCTTTTAAACTACGGATTCGTTTTGTAAGACAATAAATACAACTCAATTACATTGAGAGTCAATATTACTCTAAATAAAACTAAGGATGAAATTTTAAATGAGTAGTAGATCTTAGCTGATAGAGTTTCTGAGGCTGTTGGCTTAAACAAAATAAGCAAATATATTAAGCTAAAGAAAGATAGGATTAGTGAGGAGCTTTTGTCATACTTGAGAGCAAGTTTGATGAATGTCTATCGAGATTAAAATCATTAATACTTACTCATTTCGACACCAGTTGAAATTAAATTCGAAATGTAGGTCCTTTTAAGTGCAATCAATCTACTCTAAAATTTGCTTAATACCAGATTTAAGAAATCTATTTATGAGGATAGAAAAATTTTGCAAGAGTCAGATTTATCTGGCAGAAAAAGAACAGCCATAATATTTAGACTTAAGTAAAAGGAGATCTTTGAATCACAAATAAAATTGTACTCAATTTTGACGAAAGTCTTATCGAGACTTTAAAATGGATCATCATTCAAGCAAACATATTTGCAAAGAGTTGAGGGTTATGAAACAGATAACTAGATAATTTATAATCGCTTGAGATTGAGAAAGTATTTGAGAGAATTGATTATAAACTAAAAGCGTGTTTTATCTGTACCATTGGAACCAGATTATGTTGAAAAATTCAAAGAATACTATGGTGGCATCTAGTAATAGCCATCATAGAATGAATATAAGGAAAATAATGAGGTAAATACAACTGAACCAAGGGGATAATAAAAAATAAATGAATGATTATTGTTTTTTAATCTCCTTAATTCATAACTAATTTCTACTGATGGGGTTTTGGGGTTTTGGGG